TAAATAAAATGAGTTTGAATTTCTAGTTGAGGAATGCAAATACGATTTTTGTAATAGCCGGTGAGATTTGAACCGCTGAACTGCAGATCACAGTCAGCTAAAGTGGCCTGCAGTACTGCACCCTAACCACTGCGCCACCTCACCTCTTGATGGGGGCTGAATGAAAATACTCAGTTACCTTGATGGTGGTGGTAGATTTACATCCTGTCTTTCCTCTAGGACTGGGGTACCCAACCTTGGTGACTTTACGGGACTTCAACTCCCAGAATTCCTCACCAGTTTGGTGGGCAGATTTACAGTCTTTGGGCACTTGGGTTAGAAGAGGAAACCAAAACAACCCTTTTACATTTCTTTGCAGCTTCCAAATACCTTAAATCCTTAAGTGCTATGAGAAAATAGTGGCAGAAAGTGGTAACAGGGTCTGGAAATATCCTATGGCAGTGATGGTGAATCTTTTTGGCACCGAGTGCCCAAACCGAAATGCATGCATGCGTGTGCATGTGACAGAGCACCAAAAATCTGAAGACCATCTGGCCTGGGGTGAGCCCATGGCATGCATGCCATAAGTGGCATGCAGAGCCCTCTCTGTGGGCATCCGCATCGTCACCAGCTGCTCTTCTGGTTTCCACCGCGCACATGTGCACCAGCTAGCTGGTCTTTGGGTTTTCAGCATTCCGACGTGCATGAAGACCAGCTGGAAACCAGAAGAGCAGCTGGCGATGGCGGGCATGCCCACAGAAAGGGCTCTGCAGGCCACCTCTGGCACACGTGCCATTGGTTCACTATCACGGTCCTATGGAGTGTAAAATAGGAGAACTAGCAGTGCCTCGTGACATTTACATGGCATATTCCTCTGTGGGACACCAACAAGGACAAGCAGGTTTGAAGCGATTGCCACTTTCTCTATTCACACAGGCTGAAATTCTTCAGCTACTTAGTAGTATGCTAGTCATCTTTCCCATACTGATAGTTGTCTACTTACATGACAAATACCTTCCCAGAGCTACTTACAACCCGTTTTCAGAATTATAGCAGCCAAACATTATACGCGTCCCATGCTCATGTGATTGCATCTTGAGCACTTGGCAACAAGCCCACCTTTATGGCATTGCAGCATCCTGCAGTTACTTGACCACAATTTGCAATATGTTTCATCAGCATCCAACATCTACTTCTGGTTTCTGGCAAAAAAAACAAACCCAACCCCGCCCATTGGAGAAAATGGATTCATTTAGTGACCACCACATTTGCTTAAGGACTGCAAGGTTTGTTTAAGGAGCCTTGTAAAAACGGTTGTAACTTTGAATCCGGTCATGTGATGCTGCAACTTACAACTGCTAAATTTGGGTTGTAAGTCAAGAACTACCTGTGCAGGACACACTGCCGTCCCAAAGGTGCTTTTTCTTCAAGAGGCAACTGGATTTTCTTGTTTATATGCTTGAAGATGTTTTGCTATTCATCCAAGAAGCTTCCTCAGCTCTGACTGGATGGTGGGGAATGGAAGGATTTGTGTTCCTTGCAAATAGCTGGTCGTTTGCATCCTTTTAGAGGGTCACTGAGGCTACTTGGAGGTTCATCTCTGTCCTCAGGGTCATCTGAGTCCTTGAGAATTTGGAGCTGTGCTTTCTATAGGATGTTTTCTGCCCTGTGTCCCTTTATTGTTGAACACAAATGCAGGGGGTTGGGGATGAGTCTGTGCTCTCTGCATCTCAAACAGAGAAACAAATATAGCCTGCAATTTCTCTATGCCTTTCTTTCCTAGTGTTTCAGGTAATTCAGAATTGATATTTGCTTCACAGAGCAGAATAAAGAGAGGCTTTATGTGGGGAAAATCTTTCTGAAGGGTGGTAGACAGCCCAGAAGCCCAGGATGATACCATTGGGGAAGGTAGCTACAATGACGAGAGCTGGCTGCCTTCACTAGCCAACTGAAGTGGGACTTTACTGTAACTACAAGGAAATAAAGTGCTACAGAAGACCACATAGGGCTGCTTATGTCAGCAAAAGTCAGAAAGCATCACCTGAATAGAAATCAGAAAAAAGAAAAGCAGAGAATAGATCCGGAGTAGTGTTCCAGAGGGGAGTGGCCTGTTGACCCCTTAATTACCAACCTTAATTGTGCCCATGTTACTTGCAGCATTCCTTGCTAATGGTATTAATACTGGACAATTTGGGCACAATATCCAAAATTCAACAAATGCCTTCTAGTCTGTGCCTTGCCTTCTATTCTATTCAGAGGTGGGTTGCTCCCGGTTTGCTCTGCTTTGGTAGGGGTGATTTGGCCTGGGTCACAGAACTGGCAGCGACTCAGGCTGGCCATGCCCCCGAACCAGTTCTCTGGTCTCTTCTGCCATTGCTGGTATGTTTCTGCGCATGCGCAGAACAATTTTCAGTCAACTGCGCATGCACAAGCAATGTGTAGTGATTGTGTGTGTATGCACAGCAAACCGGTACCAATCAGTACAGGAACCCACCCCTGGTTCTATTGTGTAATTACATTGAATTTAATTCTGAATTTACCAATTTTCTGGGTTTGCAGACTGAGATCCTTAACTTAGAAACTCTTGCCTGCATCTCACTAATTCAGAAATACATGCAGATACTGAAGGACAACTGCGATCCCAATAACTACATTCATACAGCACGTCGTGGTTGGCAGTTGTTTTCTTATTTTTGTGTAGTTAAATACCTTATATGAATCTGGCCCATTTCGTTAATTTGTAATCAAATGTATTTCACAAATCTCAAAAACGGGTGCATTTTACATCCATTTCAATGGATTGTGCAAACCTAGAGATGGGCTGAGGATCAATCGCTCAAAAGTTCAGCGACACATTTATTGTGGTTAAAGCTCTTCTTTTATAGACGGGGGGGGGGGGAGTTGTATTGCAGCATTTTTAACTGAAGCTGCAATGAAACCGACATGGCTATATTAACCGTTGCTTTCAAAGGAAATGTGTTGTAATTGCTTTGAATGTTGATCTTTTTAATTGCCCCAAATGGACTCTTAAGTTCATCTAACCCAGCTGCAGACATCCAGAATTTCAAGCAGGGATATTTCCCAATTGCATCTGAGATGTCACGAAGATGAATTTGGACAAATTAATGCACAAACAAGCGATCTGTGAACAAAACATTTGTTTGCTTATAGAATTTACAGGTAGCCCTCGTCTTACAACAGTCCATTTAGTGACTATTTCAAAGTTACAACAACAGTGAAAAAGTGACTTATGACCATTTTTCACACTTACGACTGTTGCAGCATCCCCATGATCATACGATCAAAATTCAGGTAACTTGGTTCATATTTAAGACGGTTGCAGTGTCCTGGGGTCATACGCTCAGCTTTTGTGACTTTCTGACAAGCAAATTCAATGGGGAAATCAGGTTCATTTAACAACCATGTTACTAACTTAACAACTGCAATGAGCCACTTAACAACTGGGACAAGAAATTTGTAAAACGGGGCAAGACTCACTTAACAAATCCCAAAGGTATTTTTTCAAGAGGCAACCGGACTTTCTTGTTTTCCTTTGACAACGTTTCGCTTCTCATCCAAGAAGTTTCTTCAGCTCTGATTCTTCAGCTTTCTTGGATGAAAAGCTAAGTGTTTTCAAAGAAAAACAAGGAAGTCCGGTTGCCTCTTGAATAAAAGCACCTTTGGGACAATCATGACCTGGATGATTGAGACTCTCCATAGTCACTTAACAAAGGTTTCACTTAGCAACATAAATTTGGGGCTCAATTGTGGTCATATGTTGAAGACTACCAATATATATAGCCACCAAACTCAAAGTAGTGATTCTGAGTGGCCTACAATATGATAATTGGTTTTAAGAAATCAATTTTAAAAAACAATAACAGCATTGCAACAAACCTGAGAATCCTAAAATTTAATGAAACTCATACAGGTGAGGCTGGACCTGTGCAAAAAGCCACGGCTTTCCAGAAAATGAACAAGGTGATCTGCACCTTAAGGGAGATGCTATTCTATAAGGTGGAATGTGACTGAGAAAGCAGATATACTGGCTCCCATTAGATGGTACTCTTCCAGAGAAGGGACCTGGAGTATGACCACTCTGTCACACCTCATGACACAGGTATAAATAACTGGGACAGGCAGTCCTGCATATAATCCGGCCTAAGCCATCTAAAGCGTTTCAGTGATTGCCATCATCTCAATTAGGTCCAGACATGGCCCTCATTTGAACAGTGAACCTTTGCGTTCACTTCAGAGGTGGGTTTCAAAATTTTTTTGAACCTCTTCTGTAGGTGTGGCCTGCTTTGTGGGAGTGGCTTGCCAGCCATGTGGTGGTGGGAGTGGCTTGCCAGCCATGTGGTGGTGGGAGTGG